TTATAAAAAAATAGCCTCTAATAAAAAAAAACTGAAAGAAATTTCCATACAAATGGAAAAAGAAGTAAAGTAGGATATATTTACAAAATAGATAAAAATTTTACAAACATTACGTGTTAATTGCCATTGCTCAACTTATAATTTTTTAACCCATTATAAAGCCTTTAAAAATTAAAGTATTTATAAAATTACTATAACACACCTCCCTAAGCACAGTTAGTCATAGAAGAGTTCAGAAACAAGATTTATAGTAAATAATTATAACGGAAGTAAAAACACTTCTAATATAAAATGTTTCTTCAAAAGAAAGCTTTTATTAAAAAAAAAATTAATTTACATTTTGAAAAGAGAAGATTATAGATACCTGTAAAGGAAAATCACTTTAACAAATCAATATATATTGGAAAAATACCAAAATATTCAAAGTTATAAAATAAGCTAAACTAATCTCATTTGTAATTAATTTAAAGATTTTATACATATAAATGTAATTTACACAAAAATTATATGAGACAAATTCTTTTCCAAAACTTTTCAAAAGAACAAAAACTGAGTAATTGTTTTGGTAACATATCAATTTGCCTCCCTATCGAAAACACGAGATTCTATCTTGTACATATAACGAGCATGCGAGTCCCGTGCCAAAAGCTCCTAAACCGAGAGGTTGCTACCTCGATCTACTAATATGAAATGGATGGGATTTTATGAGCTAACAATCTAGTAAGTAATAAGTTTAAACTATAAACTTGAGTCCTAAAACCCTTAAACCTATACACACAAAAAGCATGAGATACAACGAAACTAAATCACATAATATTATAATTCTCAAATCATACTCACAAATGTCAAGGAATAATCATTGACATTTAAATTAAATCCATTTACTAAAATCATATGCTCATAAATATGATGTCACAAGCGCAATGCATACAACCGAAAATCACGCAATACTATGGAATCCACTGAGATGTGCTAGCAATACTGTATTGAAGCTAATCATAGTACTAACCCTACTGTAACACACCTCCCTAGGCACTCTTAGTCCTAGAAGATTTCGAAAACAAAATTTATAATAAAGAATTGCAGTGGAAGTAAAAACACTTATGATATAAAATATTTCTTCAAAAGAGAACCTGTATTCAAAAAATCAATTTTATAAAAAAATAGCATATATATTGGAAAATACCAAAATATTCAAAGTTATAAGATAAACTAAGCTAAGTTCATTTATAATTAATTTAAAGGTTTTATACATAAAGGTAATTTACACAAAAAATTATACGAGGCAAATTCTTCTTCAAAGCTTTTCAAAAATACAAAAACTGAGTCATGGTTTTGGTAACACATCGATCTGCCTCCTTATCGAAAACACGAGACCCTAGCTTGTACATATAACGAGCATGTGAGTCCCGTGCCAAAAGCTCCTAAACCGAGAGACTGCTACCTCGATCTACTGATCTGAAATGGGGGGGGGAATTTTATGAGCTCACAGCCCAGTAAGTAATAAGTTTAAGCTATAAACTTGGGTTCTAAGACCTTTAGACCTATCCACACAAAGAGCACAAGACACAACGGAATCAAATCACATAATATTATAATTTTCAAATCATAAGCACAAATGTCAAGTAATAATCAATGACATTTAAATTGAATTCATATACTAAAATCATATGCTCACAAATACGATATCACAAGCGCAATGCATAAAATCGAAAATCACACAATGCTATGGAGTCCACTAAAGGTGTGTTAGCAACACTGTATCGGAGCTAATCACGGTACTAACCCTACTGCGCAGAGGTCCACTAAATACCCCGAAGGGTCCACTAAATACCCCAAGTTTTAAGTTTAGGTCCACTTACTCCATAACTACAAACACATATGCATGTCAAACAAATTCATAATATGTCCAAAATAATAGTAGGACTCCCTATTGGAAGAGATCAAAGCATAATCATGAACAGTAATCGTGAACAGTAATCGTGAACAGTAATAATGAACAGTATCATGAACACTAATAATGAACAGTAATCATGAACAGTAATTCACAAATAATACAATTTACTTATAATTCCTGCAGCAAAAATCACACCCAAATCAAACAATAGAAATGACTAACTCACTATCTTTGCCATATAAACCTCAAAATTAAGGATATTTCTAATAAAAGTTTAATACCCAAAAATCTTATAAACCAAAGGATTAAAGCCAAATCTCACCAATTTAAACTACCCAAAACTCTAACTCAAAATTCATAACTAAAACTTATACTTACCTAACAAAAGCACCTTAACCTTGGTTGGAGAAAAAAGGAAGAAAAGGATGGAGGTGGAAGAGGAAGGCATAGGAAAACCAAATGAAGCTTTTGGGAGCCTTTTGGAGGCTTATCCAAGCTTCCACCGACAAAGACCAAAAACTTGGTTGGGAAAATGCCATGTGGTAAGCAAAATTGGAGTAATTGAGTTATGGTCATTCAACTTCTACTAAGTTTTACTTAAAACCCCCAAACTTTAAATTCAATCAATTTAATCCCTAAAACTATAAACTAAATGACACTAATTTTTAAATTATTCACTAAGGTATGTGGGGTGTTACACCTACTGCGCAGAGATCCACTAAATACCTCGAAGGGTCCACTGAATACCTCAAAATTTAAGCTTAGGTCTACTTACTCCATAATCACTAACACATATGCATGTCAAACAAATTCAAAATATGTCCAAAATAATATTAGGACTTCCTATTAAAAGAGATTAAAGCATAGTGCGTGAACAGTGATGTATGAACAGTAATCATAAACAGTAATTTTAAACAGTAATCAGAAACAGTAATTCATGAATAGTGCACATGAATAGTACAATTTACTTATAATTCCGACAAGTAAAAATTCACACCCAAATCAAACATAAAAAGGAATAACTCATTGTCTTTCCCATATAAATCCCAAAATTAAAAATATTTCTAATGAAATTTTAATACTGAAAAATCTTATAAACCAAAGGATAAGGGTTAAATCTCACCAATTTAAACTACTCAAAACTCTAACCACAAATTCATAACTAAAACTTATACTTACCTAACAAAAAGTACCTTAACCTTGGTTGGAGAAAGAATGAAGAAAAGGATGCAGGTGGAAGAGGAAGGCGTAGGTAAACAAAATGGAGCTTTTGGGAGCCTTTTGGAGGCTTATCCAAGTCCCAATTGACAAGGAAAAAAAAACTTGGTTGGGATAATGTCATGTGGTAAGCAAAATTAGAATAATTGAGTTAGGGCCATTCAACTTCTATTAAATTCTATTTAAAATCCTCAAACTTTAAATTCAATCAATTTAATCCCTAAAACTATAAACTAAAAGACATTAATTTTTAAATTATTTACTAAGGTATGTGGGGTGTTACAATTACTATTAAATCAAATTGATTTTTAGAGTGACAAAGAACATGTATGAGAGAAAAAAGAAGAAAGTAGAGTTGACTTTATTCTCTTATTACTCTCTAGATTTTCATTCTTCTCTCCTTTTACCTATAATATTAAATATATTTAAAATTTAAATTAAAAAAGTATAATATTTTAGTATTATTTCCTAATACTTTTTACTTATGTACCATTAATCTATTTCTTATTAATTTTTCTTGTTACACGATCACCTAACTTACCATTTCATAATTTCTACTATATTTATCACTCTAAATGGTATTAACTTTCATTTTCACTCTTTATATTAATAATTTATTTATTATTATTATTCATTCTCTCCTTACACATTGATTATATGTACTATCATTTGTTAGTATTCACAATTATTGATGTTTTAATAATTGTTATTAAAAAAATATATTTATTCAGAATTATTTATATTTTAATTATTACTCCCAACCCCTAATTAGATTCTTCAAAAAGGTTGATTGGGCATTTATTTAAGATTTTATGAATATTGTGTTTAAATAATTTATTGAAAATTTTAAAAAGTCCATTGAATATTTGAAGATTTCTAATTTTAATAATTTTTATAATATTATAAGATTACTTAAGAAAAAAGTAAAAATTAGAATGTTCTAACATTTTAAATACTAAAACTCCTTGTTAAATTGTTCAAGTAACCTTAATAAAATTTTTTATGTGTGGATTTATTAAAAATATTTTAATTTTTAGTCCCATTAATTAAAACCCAG